ATTCCCCAGCTAGCAAGGCTGGACTACAATTCCCAGGATTCCCCAGCTAGCAAGGCTGGACTACAATTCCCAGGATTCCCCAGCTAGCAAGGCTGGACTACAATTCCCAGGATTCCCCAGCTAGCAAGGGTGGACTACAATTCCCAGGATTCCCCAGCTAGCAAGCGTGGACTACAATTCCCAGGATTCCCCAGCTAGCAAGGCTGGACTACAATTCCCAGGATTCCCCAGCTAGCAATGGTGGACTACAATTCCCAGGATTCCTCAGCCAGCATGGGAGAACTTCAATCCCCCAAATTTCCCACCCAGCAAGGGTAAACTTCACCTCCCAGAATTTCCCAGCTAGCAAGGCTGGACTTCATTTCCCAGAATTCCCTAGCTAATCAGGAGGAACTTCAACTCCCAGAATTCTGCAGCCAGCATGGGGGGGACTTCATCTCCTAGAATTTCTCAACTTCTTCAACTTCATATTGCAGAATTCCTCAGGCAGCAATTTTGGAGTTGAAGTCCACCCATGTTAAACATGCCAAGTTTGGAAAACACCGCCCTGGATCCTGGATAACAGAGTTAAATAATAGCAGCGTTCCGATATCTCAGGGGCTGCCCCAAAGAAGAGGGAGTCAAGCTATTCTCCAAGGCGCCTGAAGGCAGAACAAGAAGCAACGGATGGAAATTCATCAAGGAGAGAAGCAACCTGGAACTAAGGAGAAATTGGGGGTTGGACTAGATGGCCTCCAAGGTCCTTTCCAACTTTATTACTATTACTAGCTGTACCCGGCCACGCGTTGCTGTGGCTCAGTCTGGTTAAATGGAAAAGAAAGAAAAGAGAGAGCGCACGTTTGTGATATGTTTAATTTCACAATGCTTGTAAAAGAAAAAAATAAACTATACTTACGAAATGAACGCTATGGTAAACAACACAGCTCAATTCCAACGCAATGTCACACGAAATAATTAAATCAAAATGAAAATAAATCGAAATCTATGAAAATTCAATTTAACAATGCAATCGGAAACATTGAAATGGAATCGTAAAATTGGAAATTTGGAAATCGTAAATCGGAAACATTGAAATGGAATGGTAAAATCGTAGCGTGTGTTGCTTTTATGTCCAACAGATGGCGCTGTTTTTCAAAAAAAGCATGTTTTTACCTGTCACAGGTGTGACATCTATACATCTATATAATAGTAGGTATATAAAAACGCACGCATATTCGAATGCAACGTTGTGTCAAAATTTCAAAGCAATCAGTGAAGAACTTTCGGAGAAACTTCCTGACAGTGAGAACAATTAACCAGTGGAACCACCTGCCTCCAGAAGCGGTGAATGCTCCAACACTGGAAGTTTTTAAGAAGAGACTGGACAGCCATTTGTCTGAAAGGGTATAGGGTTTTCCTGCCTGAGCAGGGGGTTGGACTAGATGACCTCCAAGGTCCCTTCCAACTCTGTTATTCTGTTAATCAGTGGAACCACCTGCCCCCAGAAGCGGTGAATGCTCCAACACTGGAAGTCTTTAAGAAGAGACTGGACAGCCATCTGTCTGAAATGGTACTATAGGGTTACCTGCCTGAGCAGGGGGTTGGACTCGATGACCTCCAAGGTCCCTTCCAACTTTATCATCATCATCATCATCATCATCATCATCATCATCATCATCATCATCATCATCATCATCATCATCATCATCATTATTATTATTATTATTATTATTATTATTATTATTATTAAGATTTTGAACAAACGAACATTTACATTTTTATTTATATAGATTATTCTCCCCCCCCGCCCCCAGCTCCAGATGTTAGGTGTGCCCAGCCTTGTATTTCCCCACTGAACCAGGGTTGGGGTGACAAGGCTGTTGCCAGGCCCAAAGTGGCAGGAACGGAGTAAGGCCACACCTGGAATATTGCAACCAATTTTGGTCTCTACATTAGAAAAAAGATGTTGAGAGTTTGGAAAAAGTTCAGAGAAGAACAACTAAGATGATCCAAGGCCTGGAGACTAAAACGTACGAAGAACGGCTGCGGGACTTGGGTTTGGCTAGTCTAAGGAAAAGAAGAAACAGGGGAGACATGATAGCAGCATTCCAGTATTTGGGGGGCTGCCACAAAGAAGAAGGGGTCACGTTATTCTCCAAAGCACCCGAGGGAAGGACGAGAAACAATGGTTGGAAACTGATCAAAGAGAGAACCAATCTGGAATTAAGGAGAAACTTCCTGACATTGAGGACAATTAACCAGTGGAACAGCTTGCCACCAGAAATGGTGGGCGCTCCATCACTGGAGATTTTTAAAAAGAGACTGGACAGTCACTTCTCTGAAATGGTTTAGGTTCTGTTCGAGCAGGGGGCTGGACTAGAAGACCTCCAAGGCCCCTTCCAGCTCTATTCTATTCTAGTTTCTTTATTGCTGTTTGCCCCTAGACAGAATCTTGTCAGATTAAAGCAGGGGCTCTTCCAACTTGGCCCTTTGATGACTTGTGGACTTCAACTCCCAGAATTCCTCAGCCAGGCACGCGTGCCTGGCTGAGGAATTCTGGGACTTGAAGTCCACAAGTCATCAAAGGGCTAAGTTGGAAGAGCCCTGGATTAAAACAACTATCTGCATAATTATAGCTATATAGGTAGACCTCAACTTAAGACCACAGCTGAGGTCCAAATCTCTTGCTAAGCGAGGCAGGTGTTCCATGGCTTTTGCCCCGTTTTACGACCTTCCCTGCCACGGTTGTTAAATGAATCGCTGCATCTGTTAAGTGAGTCAGCCGGTCGTTAAGTGAATCCGGCTTCCCCCATTGACTTTGCTGGTCAGATGTTCGCAAAAGGGGATCACGTGACCTCCCCCCTGGACGCTGCGACCGTCATAACTCTGAGTCACTTGCCAAGCGTCTTGAGTTTTGATCACGTGACCCTGGGGACGCTGCAGCGGCCGTTAAGCGTGAAAAACGGTCCTAAGTCCCTCTTTTCAGGGCTGTCGTAACTTTGAACGGCCGCTAAACGAACGGGTGTGTAAGTCGAGGACTCTACTACAGTTCCCATCCACGTTATTTACAACAAGCTGGGCCCGGTGCCAGCCAGGTACTTTTCTGCTGCTTCCTGGCGCGTTTCCCCTTTTGATCCCGGATTCTCATGGGAATCATTGTTTCTTTCAAGAGCCATCATTTGTGGTTAGGTTAGCCATCTTCATCCTGGCTCTTTTTTCTTCCCACCCGTTGCCAAGAACTCAAATCTTTTTTTTTTTTTTAATTGTTTGGAGGAATGTTTCATCCTTGATCCGTTTTTTCCACTCGTCCCTTCCAGGAAA